TAAGGAAGATTCCGACCGCATTCCATTCACTCTCACGTTTCACCCTCACAACCACTCAGTTAAATCCATCATTCTTAAAAACTTTAAATTACTTCAAAACGATCCAGAGACAAGCACTATCTTTTCGCAGCCTCCGCTCATTTCATTCAAACGCGACAAAAACATAGGCAATTTTTTGGTCAGAAGTTCTTTTCAGACTAATGACCAACCAGGCACTTTTAAATGCGCTCGTGCACGATGCAAAACGTGTCCTTTCATTCACAACACTGATAAAATATCGGGACCTAAACGATCCATTAAGATCACCGATCACTTCACGTGCACCTCCGCCAATGTAATCTATTGCATAACTTGCACTTATTGCAAAAAGATATACATCGGCGAAACAGGCAGAAGACTAGGTGACCGATTCCGAGAACACCTTCGAGACGTGGAAAGGAATGACAAGGACACATCGAAACCAGTCGCTAGACATTTTAATTTACCTAATCATTCTAAGCAACATATGGCAATCTGCGGTCTTTCCTTACACTTAGGTAGCACGGAAAGCCGTAAAAATCTTGAACAAAAGCTCATCTTTCAAACCGGCAGTCTAAATCCCACAGGGATCAACGAACGCTTTTCATTCCACTAATTTATTCTTGTTTTTCTCGTTGCCATGTTCCCACCAATAACGTAGCTCCATTTTCTGCCTTTAAAAGCACACACAACCCACAATTCCTCTATTCGCTCCGACGAAGGGCTAACGCTCGAAACGTCAGCTTTGTAATTGTTACAGTGGCCAATTTACCATTTCAACTTTGTTGATATATCCAAATTAATCCTTATAAAACGTCTGAAGGCTAACGAAATTTTCTTTTCAATAAAACATGAAAATAGATTGAATAAAAATAACCTTATAATTCTCTATCTGCTTGCATTCAAACGAAAGGAGTACTTTAGAAAATTCAAATTCACTAAGAGCCCTGCATTTAAAACAAACTCATAAAAAAAAACCCAAACTTAACAATGGTTACCAAAGTAAGAATTATTGTTGGCACTGCAGCTTATGGTGCTACCACAGAATTTGCAGCCTTACATTAAGAAAGGTCAATACCTGTACATCAGAGAGATGATTTTTCGCGATCATAATAACACTTACAGAGTACTGTGACGTTGGCTGTAGTTTGTACTGATCCCATAGAATTTCTTGCTAAACATATGTAAACAGATTCATCGTCTTCTCTCGTCACGATTTCTCGGTTTAGAGTCTCTGAAGGGGACAGCATTTTGCTGTTTCCCTGTTTGGTCCACGTTATGTTGGGTTTAGGGTTTCCAGTGGCATTACAGAAAAGAATCAGCTCATTTCCTTCTACAACTTGATAAGCTGATGGAGCATGGTCAATATCAGGAGCAACTAAGATGGGAAGAGATTGCAAATTTTTTTTATACTTTTATAAACTGATCTCAGAACAGCAATAATGAGATTAACCATGATAAATCTCTTGAAAGAGAAGAGTTAGTTTGTCTAATTGGCGTTTCAACAATTCCCAATCCCCAACCTTGTACATTTGTAGCGAATTCACTTGCCATGTATCATATTCTGACAACCCTTTCACTATGTAGAGATGAAACAATTTTCTAGTGTATATTACAGTTAGAAAAAAGGGGCAAAACTCACTTCAGAGATGATGTGAGCGTCTAAGAGAGAGACGTACATATTTTTTTGATACTTTGGCAGAGCATCAGAGCGCGGAATCCGAGGGTCTGAGGTTCGATTCCTCATGGGGACTCAGAATGTGTTCTCAGTACCACGCTCGTGACTAGACGAAAAAACATCTTTCTTATATTCTACTTTCTTCTAAAAGAGCAAAAATAAAAGGTAATGGCCTCCTGTCCTTCTTTAGTTATTCCAATTCAAAGAGTTCATGCTAATGTGAGCCAACCACACAGTTATATGAGACAGTTGTGCACCGTGGTTCTATGAGCACTTAAAATAGGCACTTAATTTAAATGTTTTAACATTTAAAATTAAAATTACCAGTACGCAAGCAAAGAGATTTCTCAAAATTAATCCCATTTGTTTCATCCCTATTATACTCGAACATAGTCAAAGTAACGACACTTACAGAGGACAGTGATTCTGACTAGAGCTTGTGCTGATCCCACAGAATTTGTGGCGGTACATTTATAAACAGATCCATCGTCTTCTCTTTTAAGCTTTGTTAGGTTAAGAGTCTCTGATGTAGACAATTCACTAGCATTTCCTCGTTTAGTCCAAGTAATGCTAGGCTGTGGGCTTCCAGTGGCATTACAAAACAGAGTAACTCCTCTTTGTTCCAAAACTTGATAAGCTGGTGGAGCATGGTCAATACCAGGAGCAACTACAATCATGGGAGTAGATTGTATATCATTACAGACTAGTTATGAAAATTGACAGGCAAGATAGAAAATAATTGTAATGCACTTGTGCCACCTGAGTTTCAACATAAGCACGAATTAAAATTAATCATCACTTATCATTTTAACTGATTGATGGATTTAACCCTGCGCATAGACCACTTTCATAAATGGCTGCCGGATTAATATTCTTTTGTTTAAATTGAAATTAGCCCTACTGGCCTCGTTCTCCAGTACAAATTCAAGAGAATACATTATCTCAAGCGAGGCCAAAAGGGCTAATTTAAATTTAAACAAAAGAATAGTTATACGGCAGCCATTTATGAAAGTGGTCTATTACATGGTTTAAGTTGGATGACAATTGAAGCGGAAGAGTATTTGAATGATATAAAAGCAATCTTACTCTTTTGGCCAAATGGACCTGCTCCTTATATCATTTACACAGTGCATAATATAACAAAGACATAAAGAATAATCAGTGCAACCCAGCCTTCCACTTGTCACAGGATCAACTCTGTAACTTTTGAAACTTTCCAATGCATCATACTTAATGATAGTTTTCTTTTCACTCACAATCTATATTTGGGAATTACTTGTAGCAACTACCAAATGAAAAGTAGCCCAAAAAATATCAGTATCTAACATATCATACTTCTCAAAATAAGTATCAAAACTTACAAACAACAGAGACGTTAAGAGCATCACTGTCACCTATGCCAACCTCGTTTAAAGGGACACAACTGTACACACCATCTTCTTCAACAGTGATATTAAAGAAACCAGAGCTGCTGTTACCAGAACTAGTACCATTAAAGTATAGGAAATAAACATGAGCAGTAAGATTGGCATCTGTACTGCAATTTAAGAGCAAACTTTCGCCCCTTAGTTCAGTCGCATTGGTCAGCTTTGATGTCAATCTTGTGCCTGCTGGTGGATCTGAAACAATAAGTTATCCCATTTACTTTCACAACACGAAACAGTGCTGGCACACATTCTAAGCAATATCATCAGCCTGAAAAACTTTGTTCGCAATGAATGCTTCATGTTGCATGCACATAAAGGGTATTTACCAATCACACCTGATGAAAGAACCACATTTCATTGCAAGTCAAAACAATTGAGTTAAGAAAATAACACATAATCTTACCTGAGAGACAAAGGCCACAACAACAGTTTGCATTGTGTCTGGATGTTGAAAAGGCATATTAATTGACTAAAAGACACTACCTTTATAGGTATAAAAGCAGCCAAGCTGACTTCAAGTAAAAAAAAAAAAAAGACCAAGGTGCTCATCGAATGATCACTGTAAGAAAATGTTTACACGATATTGAGGTCTTGATTTGTCTACAAGAAGCTTTGAATATTGTTGTTCACCGAGGGAAACCTTCTCCCCTGCATAAAAAGGTTGTAGTTGTTCACTTTAGAGAACAGAAGAGCAGATTATCATGGCTTTCTGTTTGTTACACAATGGTGTCACTAGAAGTATATGCTCAATGTTCATGGTTTGACAGCATGCTGCTCATGGTCCTCGTCTGGGAAAAAAGTAATCTTTTATGAAATAAAGCTTAGCTTTCATATTCGGTTAGAAACGACTGCAATCTTCTCTAACTTCAAACTTTGCCCTTCCTGAAGAATTATTTCCATAGTAGTCTGGGGTGTTCCTTGTGTCAAAACTCTTTGGTTGTAATTTCTTTATCATACATGTGGGCGAAAATACTACGCAATTTCTTTTGATGCTAAGATTGATGGTAATGACTTCTTTGCATGGCCTCTTTGCAAAGCATGCAGATGTAACCCTGCAACTGATCCTTCACAACAACATAGAGATCTAGGAGTCTCTTTGGCGTACTTGCAAAGACCAACTGTCTACCAAAGGAACAACTCCAGCCTTATAGACCCACAATGCTGAATTTTGCTCAGATCACAAAAGGCCCCCGTCTCTAACTGGGATCCACATATCTTAATAGGTTGAGGCCTACGCTTTTTACATATTGTATGCTTCTGCTTGTAGAATTTTGAAAGAGGAGTTTATAGACATTATCAATTTAACATTAATTACAATGCTTACAGAGATAGCTGAATCACTTACTATAACTTGCAATACATAATTATATCACTAACAAGAGAGATTACAGTATTCAAAAGGATCTTATAATGCTGACATCAGAAAAATAACTATATCTCCCATTATTATTCAACAGCACCAAGTAGAGTACAAATAATCTGTGAAATGTGTACCAACAGGACATGACATTTGGACAAATGTTTATTCATAATGTAAAAAGATATGTTTAACTGGTCAGCTATGTGTGCTTCCTTTCTCTGTCTGCTTTGCTTTTTCAGCCTCATACGAAGTGTGCATAAAATAAAGCATTTGGATAATTAATAACTTATTACACGTTTTAGTGCTTAGTATTGCTGAGTGTAATTTTTTTTGTTTGTCCTTTGATTCGCCCTACGGGCTCATCAAACACTGCACAGCTCGCACAAATACTCAGCAATACTACACACCAAAACATCTGATAAGATATACCCACAAACTACTTTCCATAAACATAACAGTGTTGTTTACCATGCTCCTGACATTCACTAATATACTCACTATATGAACTGATACAACGTATCAAAATAACTTTTACATTGAATATGTTAACCTTTCCATCGTGATTATACAACCCTATGAGCCACGCCGCTTTGGGAAACTAGGAGGAGTAACAGGCATCATTATTAGACGGTTTCAATAAGGTTAAGCATAAACTGCGAAACAGCTAAAATTAAGTTGTGACAAATTTAAACCCCTGGTCGTAAAAAAAGTGTCATTTAAAGTATCAAAACCTTAGACTGTTATGTGTCTTATGTTGTGGCTAAAAAAAACACCATCCAAAGTCATATTCTGCAACCTAGGAGTATCTGTTTTTGGCACATGTAATGAATTGACAGACAACTGAAAATTCCATCTTGAAGTTAATACAAAGACGAAATCATGCGCATAATTGAACTCCAAAAATTAAGGATGAAGATCTATCGACATTTGAGTATTGAGATTCCCGACAGATTACATGAGCAGGAGCAAGACTTTCTTAAGTTCTATTTTCAGGAATGTACATGTAAGGGAAATCTAAAGCACCTTGGAGGACTGCAAGACTTTTCCTTCCAGCAAAGGGTAGGGCAAACCACACGGATGAATTGGTGAAGACGGGTATATCCATGATCCAAACATGATAGTATGCAAGCTTGTAACCACTGCTGGATCCTGGTATGACCAAGTATATAGCATCACTTCCACATGAAAACATAGAAAGGGATACCACATTTATGTTTGAGCAAGTATAAAAGGAGGAAATTCATAAGGCCTTCACCTCTTTAAAAACAACTCACATCATGAGCACGGATAACATCACATCTAAAGTCTTGAAAGCTACTGCTGGTCAGCTGGCATGAGTATTCCATTGTTTAATGAGTCCTGGAACCCAGTAATTTCCCCTAAATTTGAAAATTACCTACGTTTCCCCTCTTCAAAAAAAAATTACAAACTAAGGTGGAAAGTGAAAACTTAATTTATTATCATTATCAAGTTCTTCATATCTTCCCAATCTTTGACTCAAGGTCTTCCCTTTTTTGGTTTTCAGCAGTTATTTGCTTCTTGGCACTCAAGAGTGTACTGTCATAACCCTCCCCAAGCAATGTCATCTTGTTTAAAGTGGTTTCATTACAGCAGGTCACTTTCATTCTGCATAGATGATTAAGGTTTGCCTGAATACAGAGAATAGAAAACAAAGTTTAAATCCATATTGCAATCATTTACAATCATGAGCTTTAAGCCTACTTCAAACAGAGTATAAGTAATGACTTCTTTTTTCAGTTTGCACTATTATTTTAATTAATGTACATTAATCACTATTATTTTGGTGTGACAATGCTGAATGAATATTATAAATTATAATTTATTTCTATTTCCCTTCCTGTATTAACTTAGGCTTAAATATGTATAGGCTTTCAAGCTGCTATTTAATAGATCATATAAATATTTATGGTACCTCAAAGGATCCAGTTTTCAGCATAATACCAATAGCATTTGCTGTAGCACTAAGGTGACGATTCCTTTGCTTCAAGAGTATCGAACCCACAACAGCAACACTAGGTAACCAGCTTATTTCTGTTTTCCTGCTCACAGCAACCGTCATGAGAAAAGAGTAAAAAGTGGATGCCTTTTCCTCCCATTCTTTCCAATAATGACTCTAAGTTGAAGTCTTTCAAGTCTTCTTTACTTGACTTACCGTATTTACCCGTGTATAAGTCGACCTTTTTTGACCAAATTTACACCCTAAAAATTCGACCTCGACTTATACACCGGGTATAAAAACTATGGTCAAACTATGGATAGAGAAAGTGTGGAATGCAAGACCTGGTGGTTTGTCCAGAACAAAAAGTCTTCTGGTGTGGGACTCATTCAGTGCACATCTTGTGGAATCCGTAAAGCGAAAACTACGTTTGAACAATACTGACATTGCCGTAATACCAGGTGGTCTGACTAGCATCGTTCAGCCTTTAGATGTTTGCTTAAACAAGCCGTTTAAAGACAGAATACGTAAGAAGTGGTGTGACTGGATGGTCGAAGGAGTCAAAGAGTACACGAAGGGAGGTGCCACGAAAGCAGCATCACTCGAAACTGTCTGAATGGGTCAGCGAATCGTGGAATGACGTACCAGCCAATATGGTGCAGTACTCATTCAAGAAATGTGCTATTTCTAATGCAATGGATGGTACAGAAGATGACCTTATTTGGGATGAGCCGGCCGAGGAAAAATGGCGGCACGCTCGATAACAAGTGAAGAATCTTTGCTGTTTTTTCCTCTCTCAGCCTTGACTTTCGCTCACATTTCATCCTAAAAGATACTTGATAATTCAAAAAAATTAGGGTCGACTTATACAAAGGATATACGATAAAATTGGCAATTTCTCAGGATTTTCGGGGGTCGACTTATACATCGAGTCGACTTATACACGGGTAAATACGGTACGCAAAAAGTGACGGATTCTTCATCAATGGAAGTTTGTTTACTTCCCACGAAAGTTGACTTAACACATTTGCAACGACAAGCTTCGCTATTGGTTTGCACTTTAAGACAGCATTTGCTATATAATGCGGAGGACCATTCACTAGCGACCTCCCCAAACTTTCCCAGGGCTGCAAATAACGGCCGGTCAACGGACAATGTCTGGTCAAAATTGGGTACTGACCGAACAAATCCTTGGTTTGCCGGACATCTTGTCCGGTCCTTTACCGACTCGTTCAAAGAAATTTTAACTGTTTGCTAATCACAAGGGACACAGTAATGTTTCCGAAAAAAAAAAAAAAACAATATAAAAGTAGACAAATAAGTGGTCGAGAAATTCCCGGCAGTCGCAAATTTCCGTGATGTCATCAAGTCCTGTCGCGACCACATATCATCGTGTCTTCCGTTATTTTATTTACTTTATTTAAGAGTTCCCAGTTAGTAGAGGGTTTTACCTTTGGCTAAATACCATAATTTACTCTTAAATAAAGTGATTGATTGTTTGATTAATTGAACGATCGGAAAGCACCCTCACGAAGAATAATCTTGCTGCATTGAGAATACTCCAAGTAGCATTTGCTGCAAAGTGCAAAATGCAACCAAAAGGCCCAAAACCTGGAGAATCCGACTACTCTTTTACTCTAACAAAACTTGACAACTGTAACTTTAAAAAAAGGGCTCTGAGCTGTACTGAAAACAAAAAAAAATTATTAACTTGTAATTTTTATTGCCAGACCGACTTGAATTCAGTTGTTTTTTAGTTGTAAAAGGATTACTGTGCAATCTGGGTTCACTATCGCAAAAGTTCCAACTGTTCAAATTTGACCGGCCAAAAACGGGTAGTGTCCGAGCAAAAGCATGTTTGACCGGACAACGTGACCGGCGACTGCCCATTAGTTATTTGCAGCTTTGTTTCATACTCTTCCCTTAATGTTTTTTTGGCAGTTTACTAGGATATAGTGACGATCACATCAGTCTTACTTGGTTTGTGCTGGCTTTTTACTGGTGTAGAGGCACTTCTTGGAGGTTCAAATGATGTTAGAAAATTGGTGTTCTGCTGCTGATTAACGATAACTGGAGTGTTAACTTGTTGTAATACTGGTACAAGTACAGGATATGTATGTTCGTTATGCCAATTACTTGGGAAGGCACTTGTTGTGGGCTCTGCGGCGTGAGGTGTTTGGAATGTGAGAGATTGCGAGGGATTGTTATGTAAAATCTATTCGTTAATTTCCGTAAAATGTTGAGCTTCTTGGCTTTGGTGGTGTTCCCCAGATACGGACGAAATATTTTGCGAAGAAGCTGAATAACAAGAATCAGAAGGCTCCGCTTCAGTAGATACTTGAAAACATGATGTGAGAGACTTTGATGACTTCGAAGATTTTCGGGATTTTTCTTCTTCGTTGAACGCTCGCTAAGCTTTGTTCTTGGTTTTTTAAAATGTCTCTTTAGCGTTTCTTTTAGTTCATTAAGTTTGTTGTTTAGTTTGTCAAATTTCTGCAATTGCCTGTAGCAACGTTTACAGACGAAAGAGTCACAACAATCGAAGGATGATAAATCAACATCTATCACCTCCGAAATAATTTCGAAGATGTTTAGTTTGGACTTTCCAAAGATCTTAATTCTCCCACTTAGGTCTGGCCGATCTTCACACAAAAAGCATCCCAAGTTTTCAACAATTTTCTTTGGTGTAGAAGCACTCATTTATTCCATAAACATGGCAAAAAATTCATGCAAAATGTGAGCGCTCACGCCTAAAGACTTTCCCGCGAATTTGAGCTACTCCTGTCTGATTGGCTAATTCGTAAACAATAACATTGACTTGCCGGGGAGAATTTTTAATTCGACACAAAAAGAACGTCTGCAAAGGAGGCTACTTGGTCAGCCGATTAAGAAAAAGTTCACAGGAATCGAGAGAAGGAGTAAATGTTCCATCCATACCTATATCTCAGAATAATGACTATGTCATTAACCAAGTCGGAGCGTGTTCTCTTCGTAGTACAGTGTGTTATGACAATTTCAGTGGTAATTTGTCTTTTTTGCCAAGTTCTAAAGTGACTGCATAATTGCTGCAATTAAGAAATATAAATGATGGAGAAACATCTTTAAACATACTCTGACCAAAGCAAAAGAGAAAAGCTCTCGTTCTTCTTGCTAGTCAAAAACATTACAGTGATGTAAAAGGTCAGAGGACAAAATTATAAGAGATTGGCTAGGGGTCGTAGGAAGCTAGCCACCCCCATTTCAGACTGTTATAATTGAAACAAAGTTTTTACACTTTAAACAATAAGTCTATGTAAAGAAAATCATGAATCCTTCATATCTGGCAGTCATGGGGAAACAAAATAAGGGCTTCTCTAAGCGCTTTGTCCATAGAGCACCCCAATGCAACAATGTACTAACTTCCATTGACCACATGGAAACATGGTAATGTCAAATATACATGCATGTACCTGTACTGATTTAAATTATTCTTTTTCTCATTATTATTTTCAGCGATAATGGTTGGACGAAATTTTAAAAAAGAGCTCATAGTTTTTAGCTGGACTTAATCACGTGTTCAGTCACAATAAACAAATGATGAGGAAGCACATTGGAGTAGTTAAGGCACATGACTTGTAATAGTTGAGCAAGTAGTTGAGACCTTCCTCCCTCCTACTCACTGGATTTCTTCTTGGCTACCCTTAGTTCAACTCGTGTTATAAAATATTCACATAAAGCATGTGCTGTGATTGGTCAATTTAGAGTTTACTATTTGCCAGTGGGTGCACGCTGCTGACATGGGCAAATGTTTTGCAAAAATTGTTTCTTAAATAATGGCTTGAGTCTTTTCTGCCAGAAATGCAGAAATATCTTCACAGTTGCCTGAAAATGAGACAGAAATGCCTTCCTTTGTGCTATTGATTCCCCATTTCCTGAGCCACCAGCACAGAGAGCAAGTTTAAGCGAAAACTTAAAAGAGCTTGTTGGCAAACGGCACACAAAAAAAGACAAAAAAAAACGCAAACTGGTCTGTGTCCACATTTAAGGGTAACAAGCAGCTATCAGAGATTAAGTGGCTGTTTTTAATACACTTCAATAATCCTAAAAATAAGACAAATTAGCTGTTGAAGCCTTAACTACTAACTTAAAGTAACATTTTTGTAACTGTGGAACCCCATTTAGTGCTCTATGTAGACAATTTTGATGAAACTTTTAACATTTGCTTCTTTCAGGAGCGTTTATTATGATTGGAGGTTAAAATAAATTGAATGCTCAAGGTCTATAAGAAAGCGTACTTTGATAGACCATCTCTTTTTCTGTTACTTTCAGCTTGGTGAACAGATGAACAAAGAAGCTCGACAAGGAAGAGCTTCAAGTTTGAAATCAATGCGGTTGGACAAAGGTACGCAACAAGGACACAATGAAATATCAAAGAATCACCCAAGAGTACTGAACGATGTATAAAGCAGAGAAAGAAGAAGCAAAAACCTATGAAACCCAAGATCAAGGTAAAGGCTACGAGGCGCTGAAGCTATACCTGCAGAAAGTCATTCCAAAGTGCACATCTTTTACCAGTATCCGAAGAAAAACAGTCGAACAGCCGAAGATGGAGTTTGGTACAAAGCACGAACACTTGGGAAAACACATCCTTGCTAAATGATGAAAAATATTAGCGACGAAGCGCAGTTATCCAAATCATTGCATAAGAGCTACTGTCATCACTCTCTACTCTAATGCTGGATTTCAAACCACCACATGGCCATTTCAGGATACTGCAGGGAGCAGTCTCTGGCAAGTTACAACTCTCATCCTTCAAACTCAAAGCTCCACAAGAGCAACCATGTCTTATCAAGAGCCTTTCTTCCTCCACCAACAATCACAGCCAGCCATCAGAAGTTTCTCAGCAATTCGTGTTGTTCCAGACCAAAAAGTCGCTAAAAAATCGCTTTTTGGCGACTGCAGCATTCAAAATGTGCAATTTGTTTTGAAAAGTTCTTGCTCTGATTTTAGTCCAATTTTCAATTTTTATATGAAATTAAAAGATGGTTTTTTATTTTCGTCTGACACTTTGCTTCTGAATGAACAATTACGCCAATTTTTTTCAGTAAACGTGATTACACTTGCCTTCGATTGACTTGACGAGTGAACCCACGCTGCAAGTTGTGCAATGACTAGTTTTCACGCGCCAGTTTCACTGGTCGTATAAGACTGCAAAAACATTTTTGGTTTAATAGAAGGGAACTCTTTTACTAGGATGTATTGATGTTATGTTATAAAACAAATGGCAAATACCACAGCGCACACTATTGCGTTATGGATGCACTTTGGAGGTTTGCCAAGCACTCAAGAAGCTAGAATCACTCGAAATAAACGGTCAAGCAGTAAGAGTTTAAAAACTAAAGAGGACCTTAGGAGGAATTTCCAAACTCATGTCCAATGTTAAGTGAGGAAGAAAATGTTAAATTCCTAATTATTCCAATGCACAAAACAATAAAAGAGGGATTTTGGAGAAAGAATAAATCTTGGTCTTATTTAGTTGTAAGATATGCAAACTGTTTTAATGCACACTCTTCGTTTCAGTCATGAAGGCAAATGACATACCCACTCTTCTACCTTTGCTGCACATCATTTGATTGCTGAGTTCCTTGAGCGACTCTTACACTTCTTTCGTGCTTAGCAACCTCCCGAGTGCATCCATAACTCAATAGTGTACGCTGTGGAGTTAACCATTAGTGAAGCCTGTGTTCTCTAAATAGCCAAACTGGTTAGGCTCCCACCAGTTGGAATTTTTAACCCCTTTACCTTGGAATATTTGTTTTGTTGCTTGTTTTAATTTAATGGCAATGAAAAACCCTGTTGGGGGAAGTGGTGAGGGAATTTATTGTCAGCTATTGTTATTGTCACTATCGTTCCACTGTACACCATAGTAAAAAACTGTCAATAGTAAATTAGTTGTGCAAAACTGGCTACATTAAAAACACAGTCATCTACTTACAGTGCACTGTGACAGTCACCACTCTTATCTTTCCATCACCATAAAAATTGTACGGAACACAGCGGTAGTCCACCTTTTTAACTCTTTCATTGACGAAAGTTGTAATCACCCCATCACTGTCTGTATCATTTACAAACTCAATTCCTTTGTAGAATCGATACTTTGCAGAGGGTCTGGCTGTGGCACTGCATGTGACATTGAAGGTTGTATTCACAACTACAGTGTTGTCAGTCAGATTAGTGGTCACAATGGTGTCTATTGGATGGTAGTCTGGAGTAAATTCAAAGCAGTAAGTAATAAAACACTGCATTAGTTAATACAAAGATTACTTTTTCTCCAAAAAGATGGTTATTAACTCAGTCTGTGATACATTGAATAAGCCTGTTTTAGACAATTTTAAAGTTTCATCAATGACCTTATGATACATATAATTATTTTACAGATCTTTACTTTAACGTCTGTTGTGGTTCCTGAGAATATCAACACCCACACCACTGATGGAGTTTGACATTCTAAAGAGGTCAAAAGCCTAAGCAATTCCAAAGGTTAGAGGAGGAGGAGTTCATTAGCTTTCACAAGCAAATTTAACTTCATTTTGTGTAATTTTTCATTATTCATACCAAAAACTGTAGTAGATTTAGAAAAAGAAGAGTAGAGCAGACATAAATAAGTAAATGGTTGGCATGCAGTGCCAACATCATCAGTATAGTTATCAATTGTAAATCTCAATGGCCACTCAAGGATCCTCAGGAATTTCCAAAAAAAGGTGACTGTATATTTTTTTTTTACGGCAACTATGATAAACCAAACATGCTGAACAAAGCATTTCACTGCATTCACCTTCTTCTATTGTCAGTGGCCTTTCAAAGCCGTTTTCTGATCATAAAAGCTCAACTTCTTGATAAACCTGCTCTTGGCAATTAACGAAAAAAATAATCGTTGTCACGAATGACATTCAAGTCACCAACATTTCATAACGTTCTTGCAAATGTTTACATGTATCTTACTTTTGCTACTACTTGCTAAACAATTTCCACAACGTTGTGAACACCTAAAAGTTCACCTGCACACTGCATTTTGTTCTCTGTAAGTCTAAGACAGAAACAAGTCCCAAAGGATTCTTTATCAATGCTTTTGTTGCCAGCCCTAATTTTGAAAAACTTCTTTTTTTTGTTGAAATTTGCATCCTGTCAAATGCTTGGGATGGGTGATTGAAGGACAATGAATGCAAATCACATGTTTGTTTGACATTGGTGAAATTAAAGTTCTCACAACATACTCCACTTATCTATTCAACTCAAAAGATATTGTCCTGCTTCAGAAAAAGGAGGTACAAATTAAATCAAGAAATACTTTTAACACACAAACTGAACCCATCTTTAAGCAGTTGAATATTCTTAATCTTTAAAAAATATATTGATTTCAAATAGGAAAGATTATGTGTTTGTTCAAGATAGGCCACCTTCCTGATGCTCTTAAAAGACTACTTTTGTTGTTGAGCAGTATTCATCACAATTACACCAGACAATGCAATTCCTCCTGCATACCACCTTGCAGAACAAACATCTAACAGTTTAGGCTATGTTTTCAAAGACCTAATTTTTTTCAATTCTATGAAAATAAAATTCCAAAATGTTGGTACACTTTCCCTGTTTAAGTCTGAATTGCAAACATTTTCACCTTGAAGTTGAATTCCTTATTCTTATTTTGCTTTTTTTGGTTTGTGACTGTATGTTCTCTCCTTTTCAAACTAAAATATACACATACTATATGTTATAAGGCATGTAGTGTACCTAAAGGAAACAGGTGCTGGCACTTGGGTCCTGGCTTCTAATAAAACCCCTACAGGGGTATGGCTTATCAGCGAGAAATCTGGAAAACTTGCCGCAAATTTGCATACAATTATTTATATTATCCACAAAAATTTACAAGTTTGTGGAGGATACTAATAAGAACTTCATAAAAATAAATAAAGAATAGAAAAAACAGATTATAAAAAGAGCTGTTTTTGTTAGCATAAGCCTATCTTTGCTGTCAATGGCATTAGACCTTCTTTGTTAATAGAGCTGTATTCACCAGTAAATGTGTGCCCTACTCTTGCATTATAGATTGGCTGAGTAGCTACTGGACAAGGAACCTTACTGTGTGCTGCTACGAAAATTTGTGACTCAAAAAACTTGTGTACAGCACCCCTTCTCCAGGTCAAATATATGGCTAAGTCTATTAGCAGGTGGATATGATTTCCATACCATTACAGTTGAAGCCAAAAGTAAGGATTTAAGCATTCTATGTTGTCAACGTTAGTAAGTGTATACAGGTGTGTGTTCAATGAAGCAACTAAAATAAAGCACCTTTCTCAAGAGTGGACTTATGATTTTTCTAACGTCATTTCAAAAACTTTTCTTCCAGAATTCAAGCTGCTAATCTAGGGGTGCAGTTTATCTGTGAGGGGGGCTTATCTGCCAATGTTAATTACAAATTATACATAGAAGGATAATTCACTTTACAGCTATTGAACTAAAGCAGCAGTTTCCCATCTCAAAACTGACAGTTAAAATCAGAAACATTAAACACTTGAGAGATTGAATTCATTTGTGTGAGTCACACTAAATGCATGAGAATTCAGAGCTCTGAGTTCACTTCCAATAACATGTTTTTGTTTTTCTTGTTTTTCAGCTAAATACAGCTACAATTATTTATAAAACTTCACCTGTCAGGTTGTTATGAGAAAATCTCAAACACATTAACCAAGCCAATGTTTTGACCAATACAATTCTTTTGAATGTGTTTGTGAAAAAAATATATTTGAAAAGCAAGCTCTAGGGGCTTTAAAATTTGAAATAAGTCGTATACATTATGTAATCTGATGCATCTCAAACTCAAACTGGTAAGTATACAGTGTGCCTATACTTTCACAATGGTAGTTTGTCACGTAGTATATAGCCCATGAAATATAATTAAGAATACAAAAGTACAAAATTCAGCTCTAAGCAATAATCTTTAAAACTAAGACTTTCTGGTGTTTAAAGTGGCTCACCCTCTCATTCAACCCATCAATATTTTTCGGCATTGCTAACTCACTTTCTACAATGATGTACACAGTCCTGCTGTCAGGGTTTCCCACACCATTACTTGCTGTACATCTGTATTCTCCTTCTATATGTTTACCAGTGATTTCCAAGGTAGAGTTAATGGTGCTATTGTCAGACAGTCTTGTCCAACTGATACTTGGTTTTGGATTACCATCTGCTGCACATGTAAGATTCAGTAACACACTTTCGTTTAGTCTCTGATTGCCAGCAAAGAAAGTTGTAATGTTTGATTTATCTGTAACAAAAACAAGCACACGAAGTTGTTATTGCAGAACATCATAATTATCTTCTTGTTGAGGAAAAAATATTACAAATGAAAAAGATACATGTGTCATTGGCATAATAATAATTATAATAATAATAATAACAACAATAATAATAATAACACCTTTATTCAGACACGATAATGTTTAAAGCTGAACAGCTTGTGGGGTCATGTGTAAATGCAACTAAACTTTTAATAATTAAATAAATTCAAACGATGATGGTTTTTGAGGAGAGGGAAAAACCGGAGTACTCAGAGAAAAACCTCTTGGAGCAGAGTAGAGAACCAACAAACTCAATCCACTTATGACGCCGGGTCCGGGAATCAAACCCAGGACACATTGGTGGAAGGCAAGCACTCTCACCACTACACCAACCCTCGCTGAGATTGAGAGCATTTTTCATGTAACACGAGTGCAAGACTATCTTTTTCACGTAAATTATTAACAAGTAATAGCATGATTTTTCATGCAATTTTGCATAAAATGAGCACTTGTAAAATTTTCAGACTATAAATTGCACTCACCCTATGGGCTTGTGCAGCATACAAAAAAGTCATGTCTTTGAAAAATTAACTTACGCTTATTAACATCAAATTTCACTTGAAACCATTTTGTCACTTACTGTATTTACCTGTGTATAAGTTGACCTTTTATGACCGAAAAATCAGCTCAAAAATCACCCTTGACTTCTACACAAGTTATATACAAAGACCTGATCCAAGCAATCCAAGGAATTAGTATAACAATTGCTTGAAGTCCATTAGGAAAACCAAGTTGACAAAACCAGTTCTAACTGTGTTTGAGTTTCGTCAGTTTTCAGCACATTCTTCATCAACAAAAAAGTTTGAAATAAAAAATATTACGTTGGCTTAAACAGACACCTTCTGGAGCTGGTTTCTATCGTACCTTCTGACCTGTAGAGCAGACATTTTCCTTACAGCTTCGCTGCTGTTTATGGTTGTTGAACTCTCGTTTTCATCGAATGATTAAAGTAGCTTAGTGACCTGGCAAATGCTGATTTCTCGCGTGGTCTTCTCTGTAAAGCATGTAGACCAATTATGTAAACAAAGGCTTAATATGTGAATATATTTTTTCTTTGTTGTTAGCAACCAGAAAAGGACCAATGACATTGTAACTACAGGTTAACAAGAAAACAAACCTACTTGCAACTATTTACATTGCTAACAAGGTCTCAACCACACTAATCACCTCACCACAAGTTTACGAAGATGTCTTCAAAATGAATGAAATATTCAGCTACTGTATGTTTAAGTTCCAAGTCGTCAAGTTCACACAGAAGTCAAACAACTGTGCAGCAGGCCATGAATTCTGCATCAGCGAAAAGTTGGTTTGTGACTGGTGAAAGCAAGTCAAGAAACTAAAGTGCATGCCTAAGAACAGGTGCAGCAAGTGGGAAACAGTGCCAGTGGCCCGAGTTAGAAGACAAGCTTCTCTGTTGGCTCAAAGAGCAAAGGCAAAGTGGCTACATCATCACCCAAAACATGATTATCATCAAGGCGAAGGCAATGGCCACTGAAATTCAGTTAACCTAATTTTTCTGAACTAGAAATGATGAAAAATCCAATTTTTGAGCTTGAAAATGGCGGGTCGCCTTATAAACAGGTAAATACAGTATGCTAACTTGTTCAAATATCTCAAGTATGCACATTCCAGCTGATAATAAGCTTCCCCATAAATTAAGTGCCACTATAATTTCTTTTCATAAAATGTTTGATTCATGAAGATAAAATAGTGATTACTAGCACATAAATATACATGGAGAAAAATCCTTCACCAGAATGACTGAAAAGTAATCATTATGAGAGAATTGGTGCAAGACCTAATATGCATAATTACTTAATAATCCACAACTTTAAAAAGTAATACCAAATGAGTCAAAAGAGTTTTCATTATTCCATCAAGTCTTGGATGACCACTAAACAGTACTGCAATTTGTTATTCAAAAGTAACATTTTGTCCAGGTCTCTCGAAACAAACTTGTCAGGGAGAAGCTCTTTCTGTTCTCGTCTTAATCTACACCTAATATGTACTAAGATTCAATTTTAATCATGTTGAGCTAAAATTTGCAAATTTTGCTAAGCTATAATTTTATTTTATTTCATATAATATGTTTAAATTGACATTGTTCAGTGCTCCACCAACTAAGCTGACATGCCAACCAGGAGCAGATCTTTTAATAATTGGTTTGTAATAAACCCATGTAGAGTGTGAAATTATCTTCGATATTATCCAGTTCTAAGAGGTGATATCAAGGGTTTATCTAAGGGTTGGGCACCTGGCAAATTGACCACCTATGGAAATGTCTTTTCCTAGCTGCTTTCAAAAGGTTGACCAAAAGAAGAGACAGAATAATTAACTGCTCAATATGACAAACCTCTGCCTGAGTAAAGGTCAAGAAATAAATAAAAATACATTTCATCAAACCTTTCCTGTTCTGATATGTTGAATAGCTTCTATTTGTCCTTCCTACATGGCAAATTCTCCTTGAATATTATGTTCAATTTGGAATTCTTTGTGAAGGCCCATTACCATGCGGAGACAATGTTTTTAATAACTCTATGAAATGATGTTGTTACAATTTGAGAACATGATTTTTTTTTTCAGAAATTATATTTGGTGCCCTTGCAACTGAGGTGGTAAGAGTGTTTACTTCTGCAAATATGTTTGAAATAAAAAGTACGTACACATGTGCAAACATTGCAGATAGTACCAAATCGCAAGAAAAGCTAAAAACCAAAACGATATGTTATAATAACAATATTTTCAAAAATATATAAAATAATATTTAGTCTTCCAGTCTATTCTGAAATGAATAATTTACCCTTTGTGAACAACTGATTTAAAGATCTTTGATTGCACTCTCAAATGGTTGCCTAGCACCTGATTGATTTCTTTCTTGCTGACTCTTGTTTCACTTTCTCAGTACATACAAGTAAAGTTGAGTACAGAGTAAGTCCATTAATCACCAAAAACTACTCCAAAAACTCAGTTTTGATGACTGTGTTAGCAATGACAAAATTTTATCTTCCATTCTCTAAAACTTGATGCACAGAAATATCTTAATAACCCCATGTGATTGTTTGTAAACCCATATAGCATTATAATCTTGACAGGAATATTTTTGGTGGTACTCTTTTGCAATATTGCTTGAACAGAGGTTTGGTAGGCTGCAACAGCATACACTTCCCAAACCTTCCTAATTTCAAAAGCCAAATAGCATTGATTTGTGTAGCCATTTGCTTGACAAATTACCAGTTAGTTTTTATCCTCTGGAGCTTATCATGTTAGGGAAGGACAAAAATGGTAATTTTAAGCAGTAGAAGCACTGAAGAAACTAAAATGCCTTCAACCCCAGCCCAAAAGAAATACATTATCTTGCACTGTTTGATGAAAAAAGGAGTTATAAGCATACAAGCAAGTAGGATAAGATGAACTAACCATGAAAAGAGGCTGATAGTTTCGAAAGAAACTGTTTGGGGCTGCGTTGGTGGGAGTAACGAAATAATTTGGATACATCAACAACGTTGAAATGGTAAATTGGCCAGCGTAACAATTACAAAAGCTGACGTTTCGAGCGTTAGCCCTTTGTCAGAGCGAATAGAGGAATTGAGGGTTGTGTGTGCTTTTAAAGGCAGACAATGGAGCTATGTTATTGGTCTGAACATGGCAATGAGAAAAACATGAATAAATTAGTGGAGTGAAAAGCATTTGTTGATCCCTGTGGGATTTTAACCATGAAAAGAACTCCTACTCCTACTTTTAACCTAACCTAACTTTCACTCCTACTCCTACTTTTAACCATGAAAAGGACTCCTACTCACCCCCCAAAAGAACTGTTTCCAAGACTAAGGGTTGTGCATGTGTATTTGGTAAATGTCAGTTGCCATAATTGTTTTTTTGACTGGTGTACATGTGTGGATGGTTAACATGCAGGCTTCTTGGGTCTAGAGGCTGGCTAGAAAAGTCAAGAAAAACATTTGTGGAAGACTGGAAATCAGCTGTTGACAGAAAGGAACTGGTGTACATACTGTCTACTGACTTGAGTAAAGCCTTTGACTCTCTTAGCCATTCTCTAATCGTAAAGAAACTCGAGGCCTATGGCATTGGACAAAATTCTCTCAACCTTCTTAGATCATACTTTGACAATAGGCTCAATAGAGTGAAAATAAAAGGAGTGACAAGTGACTGGAAAAGGATGGTGCTTGGCTGCCCGCAAGGCTCGTCCTTTGGCCCCCTTCTGTGGAATTTGTTCCAAAATGATATGTCATTTCATATAAATAATGCTAATTTGAGCATGTATGCCGACGACCATCAGATGTATGTCACGGGGAAGAAGCATGACGTTGTCGCGCAAAGTATCAAGATACATGGAGAGAAAGCTCTATCCTGGTACAAGAACAACTATCTCTCAACCAACCCAGAAAAGTTCCAGCTATTAACGATCAACCCGAGAAATGTTGACAAAGACAACGATAATCAAAATTTTTCTGTTGATGGTCATACTATTAACAGAATGGGGGAAATACGGCTTTTAGGAGTTCAAATAGATGAAAAATTGAGTTTTACTAGTCATATCAGTGATCTATGCTCTAAGGCCAGTCAAAAAGTAGGGGTCCTAGTGCGGCTACGCAATTTGATACCCTGTAATGCTAAACTATCACTTTACAGGTCTTCAATTCTGCCCCATCTAACCTACTGTCATTTAGTATGGCACTTTTGTAATGCATCGGATCGGAGAAAGCTTGAGCGGATTCAGGAGCGAGCACTTAGGGCGGTGTACAAAACTAGATCAGCGTCCTATCAAGAACTGCTAAGTCGCGCCAAACTACCGACGTTGAACAATCGGCGCCTACAAGACATTGCCACTTTGATGTTTAAAGTTAAGCACAGTCTCGTACCTGAGAATATTTCTGACTTATTTAATATAAAGAACACTCAATATAATTTACGGAACAGTGACTTTGAACTGCCAAGATTCGAAACTGTAAGATTTGGTAGGAATTCTATTAAATATATGGGACCTCTCATCTGGTCGAAGTTACCAAGACACCTAAGAACGATAGAAACTCTAAATTCGTTCAAGAAGAACATAAGAAAAGTCGACCTTTCAACTCTCGTTGAAATTTAAAACTTAACTAAAGAACTTTATAATCTTTTTAATTATCTACTGTAAATAACTATCATCTACATATGTAAATGTATATGACTTTTAAATTTTTTAGTGTCCCCCATTAGCTTATAGCTAAAAACATAGACACTTAAATAAAGTTTTTCTTTCATTCATTCATTCATTCTTGCCCTCACAATGTGTATCCGCAGGATTGTATCCTAAAGTGCCTGTACATCATTCAACATGGGAATCCCATTTCATGAAAAGGACTCAGTAATTCTCTAAATCAGGCAAACAATCATGAAATGGTATCTTATAAATTTCAGAATTTTCTTTTTATTTCTGAAACATCTGTGCAGACTGGAAGAAAAAAAAACCTATATAGTTTTGCAACTTTTAATATCGATTAAGTGAAAAGGAAAAAAAAAGGAAACAGTTCTATACAGATCATAAGGCTCTTTATTATGTTCTTGTACTTACACTGCACCAAAATCTGCACTTCACTTTCGTCTGTATCAAGGTTGCCAACGGTTATCCCATAGGTATACTTCCCACTGTCAGATCTTGTTATTCCAGTTATTTTGAAAGTTGTTTGTGTGTCTGAAATAATCTGCACATGAAATCTACCCTGAAATGCACTCCTGACGGTTGGGTTGCTGTTGGGAAATTTATTTACAATCAGCTCTGATGAACCATCTTCATAAATTCTCTTCAGTTGAGCCAACTGGATGACTCCACCAATGTTGTAACTCCAGCTAAGAGTGACATTTTGATCTTCTGTAACATTCTGTGGGCTGACGGGCTTCTGATTGAACAATTTCTGGGCCTCTGTAAATATCATGAAGACAACCATCACTGATGATGGTAGGTGCACATCAAGTTTGATATTTTCATAACATTATTACAATATTAGAATTAAGGAACAATATATATATATATATTCAACATTAAGTGACTAGAAGGAAACACACATGATTCGCTGCAACTCTGAGTTTCGCGCGTTACGCACTCATCAGGCAATCTGCCTGATGAGTGCTTAGCGCACTAAACTCAAGAGTTGTAGCGAATCATGTGTGTTTCCCTCTCGTCACTTAATGTTATATACCGCTCTACAAAAATGTGTATTGAGCCCTTGTCAACAGTGCTGACTACAATTCACAATTAGTAATGTGTGACCGGGCACAGGATTTCGTACACTAACGCTTTACCGTTTAACGAATCAATCCGTTTACTATCCGTTTACTATCCGTTTAAAACGGATCATTAAAGCGTTTAAACGCTTTCTTCATCCGTTTAAACGCTTTGCTCATCCGTTTAACGTTTTCGACAAAACGTTTAAACGGTTAACCTATCCGTTTAAAATAAAATACATCCGTTTAACGGTTACTTGCATCCGTTTAACGAGGAGAGCGAGATTTGTTTTCATGATTATGCAAATTTATTTCGATTGACGTGTACGGCAAAATTTACAAAATCCGTGGCTATCGAGTTTCTCATCTTTTATTTCCGTCGATTGAAAGGAAACGGAAATTGCTTTATAAAAGCTGTAATTACACATTACTTTACGAAATCGAATGCAAGATGAAACACGAGCGAAAGAAAGTTGAGTTTTGTTACATGCGTATGCAAAATTGTTTCGATTAACCGACGGTGAAATCTACAAAATCAGCGGCATTTCTTAACGTTTTCACTTGATAGTGCGTTTTCATTTCAGTCAATACGTAGAAGAAACAATGTAGGAACATGAAAAAAAAAA